GAAAGATTTGTCGGATGTCGCACAATGTAATGTTTGCATAAACTGAAGAAACGTTCATGTCCCTGGACTTATTTCGGTAGCTTCTCTGTCACTGATGATTTTTATTGCTAATACTGCGTTGATTGCGCAGCTGTATTTACAAATTACACTTACTAGAAATAAAATAAATTACACAACTATGAAGAAAGTTCAATATGTACCTCGAAACTCGATAAAATTCAAATTTCTAGTAAATGATAACAAGTTTGATAGGATGCAAGTTTCAATAAAATGATCAGGAATTAGTTCTTATTAGAAGTAAAATATATTTTTGAAATCCAATTAAAAGTACATTGCATTGTACAAATTATGAAATCGTAAATAGTGATTCCGGACAAAATAAAAATAAATAACAATGATACTTTTATGTATAACATTTTAATATAATTATTTCAATATGGAATAAAATTCTCAATGTGTGAAATTATGTGAAATTACAAAGAAATATTATGCTCAAAATTAATTAATTAAAAATACTGCGGTAGAATAAACTGGATTTTACATTAAATATTTTTCCGAAGGCAGCTTGTACAAACTATATCACTAACACTTTACATTATGTGCGTTGATAATTAATGATTACACGTACACCAATTATCATGTTAACACAGCGTAAATCCTTTTTGTGACTTTGTAGTAAACGGCTACTGGATAGTTTCAAATTACTACTGAAATAAGATTACCTTTTTCAAGGTAAACAACATATTTTTTGCCTTATCATTCTTCTTTCTTTCGATGATTGATTAATCATTGCTGATATCGCGCACTCTATACGTGCGCATTCAACGGTTCAGCAAGCTTTTTGATACATATCTGAATTATTATTGATATTCTATAAGTAGAAATTCATTTAGTTAAAATATGTAAATAATCAAGAACAATGATAGTTCTTTTGGGAATATCGGACTGCGATGTACGTAGTTCTTGGAACATAATCGTCCGTAAATACATCAAACGCGCACACACGCTTATACGTGGAAGATATTGTAATTTATTTAACGATTTTCTGAGGCACAAGAAGGTCATTGCTATCATATATAAACATGTATGTATGTAATTTCTACTCATCCATTAAAATTAGTAAATCCTGTTTTTGTTGCGTTTTTTATTAGAAATTTTTGCATAGATAATAAATCAGGAATTTTATGTATTTGCAACGTAAAAATTACTTCTTCTTTATTTAAAAAATAAAAATAATTACGTGTACGATTCCTGTAGAATAAGCCATGATGTGAGAACCAATGGAGCTTCTTAGATATTTATAAAATAATTAATAAACATTAAACAATTAATGACAATAAAAAACGCTCTTTTTTTTTAAATTAATGACAATTAATGACAATAAAAAACGCTCTTTTTTTTTAAAGAAATATAAAATAGTGTCTAATGAAATATAATTAGTATTAGGAAAGATAGACTTCGAATTCGATCGCAGGATTCACGAGGACGAAGCCAATGGTACAATGAACTCGCCGGGACATAGCGAATTCGGGTTAATTCGGAGTTCATGCATGCTTGAAAGAGAAAGAGACATGCCTTCTCCTGGATATCGATCGTTACGATCGTCGCGACAAACTGGACACCGCTCGTACGATATCCCGCGATTCGAAAGACGGCACGTGATCTGTCTGGGCAGGTGGAAGGACATCGTACGTGGTGGCCGATACAGCGATCGCGGCGACGATCAGGAAACCTGGATGACCAGGAGAGGAAGCGACGAAGCTGTATCGCGCCCTGCTCCTTGGCAGTTGCGCGCGAACCATCGAGCGGAGCGGAGCGGAGCGCTTTCGTTGCCGATGGTGATCCTGTTTTCCGATCGGCGTTCGATGGTACGAAGTGTCGTGGGATAGAAGAGCAAACACGAGTTCGACCACGAGTCCGAGAGATACCTATCGTGTGAGTTTAGCGTTCGGTTTCAGGCGAAAACAAAGTCTACAATATTGATCGGTTTTACCGGCGTATACGACGCGAAAAACTTAGGACTCGTTTTCCAGTTTACGTTGACAAAACATATAACAATCTTGCGATAGAACCTCGGTGTCGTTGGAATTGTGTGTATAAATCTGTAGCGTAATTATTGAAAAATATACGTAGATCATTGAACCATCCAAGATCCTGTTTCATGTCAAAACTTAGCACGCATGCCCAAAATCGACGTAAGACGTTTTATGTTTCTCCTGTCTGGGAAGTTAATGCTTTCTGATATTGATTTATCTATTGTGTCATTTTCATCATTTTCATCAAGTCATTTTCATTAAAGTATTATTCCATCTTATAAGAAAAAGACATAATGTCGTTCAGCGAATGCAGGGATTAAACAATATATTAGATTTATTCCAATTGATTACCAATTTCTGTCTATTTCTTAATGGCAGGAACAGATGTTTCTTGAATATTAATATATAAATGCGTATTATTCTTTAAAATAACTTAGATAACCTTGAATAACCTTGAGTAAAAGTATATCGGTAAAACGTAACAAGAGGATGCGTACAGAGAAACAATAAAGGAGTCGTCCTCTTATGTAAGAGTCTTTTATAATACGCGGCAATAATGGGACTCGAAGTCCAGGAAATATGCAATCTTTTCTGTCCTAGGAGCATAAACGCGGTAGATAAATCTCCGTCATTAGCAACACGATGCGTCGGCATGATGCTCGCCGACGCGACGGATAGGTACGTCGAAGGAAACTGCGATGCCATCGCAGACTCCTCAAACGTGCTTTACGTTCCTTTTACGACGTGAAATCGGCACAGCTGATTGCTTTGCGGGCGTTTGCAAACGCGGAAACACAGGTGAAACGTGGAACAAATAATTCATCAGTGAAATGGAAAATGCCTGCAAATGGAAAATGCGTGGCTAAACAGTGTGTTGATTTGTGATATTAAGTGTTTGCTAAGTTCAGTGTAGCGTTTCTTCATTTAAATACAAGGCAGAGCGCATAAGAATTTAGTTCATCTTGCGTAATTACGGCGAAAGTAGACACGTTATTTAGTATGTATTGTTTAAATAATCGAATGATTTATGCAGTGTTGTATTTGAGTTGCATAATTATTTTATATAGATTTAAGAGATGTTACAATATTCTTTTATGTACACGTCTAAAGCAATAAATAACTAATACAATGCTGTATAAATCATTATTTATTAGAATACAGAAATAATAATATATACTTACGTAATAAATTCAGAAATATTTTTTATTATTATTGTTAATTGTATTTTTTAACATTTAATATATAATCAAAATATAGTATAAAGTATATCAACGTGTGAATCTTTTATTTCTGTAAATATAAATTACAATTCTTTTCTGACAAGATACGTGTCTTTTTTTAGCATTAACAATACTTAATATTAAGGTATAATCAAACGTTTTTATAAGAAAATTATTTACCAATTTCACTTTATCTATGCGACTGGTTCGCATAACAACTATCTGTAATTCAAATTACATTGTTGTCACGGTCAGTGTACGTAGAATTGTGTTGTAATTGTTGCAAGATTATTTCACGAGAGATCGTCGGTGCAAGAACCTTATATCAATTCAGGCACGCCATTCGCGTTTCCTTGACACGCTCACTCGAACCGTTTGGAACGTGAAATTACTTTCAATGATCAGTTGCCTTCACCCGGTTTACGCAGGACAAAAAGTTTTCTCGATATATATATATATATATAAATCTTAATAAAATTATTATATTTATTTTAATGCGTTCGACTGACAATTTTTTCAATTAGAAGTCAAATATATAATTTCATGATTTAAACTATTCAAACGATATGCTTGTATAAAACGTCCAGTTAAAGTGTTAAATGGTTTCATTACTGATTTTACTTTCCTTGTATTTATTCTATATATTTTTAAATAAATACGTGACAAATAGGCAATGTTTTTTTTAAATGTATAAAACGGATATTTGTATTTGATAAAGAAATTACATATTTTTTTGTATTAATATTAGAAAAATGTTAAATAAATATTTGAGTAACATTTTATGTAAATGTCTTTTGTAGATAGTTAAAATGTATTAAAGATTTTAAAGAAATGGGTAAAAAAAGAAAGTTAAAGTTAAAAAGTTGAATGAGTATATCCTCTTTCGTGTTGTTAGGTAAGAAAGTATCGCTGGGCATATATATCGTTTCAACAACAATTATACGATGTATCGTTATCTTTGCAAATTTTTCGACTTTTGTTTGTTATTTTGCATGCTGATTTTACTGTAAAAGATACTAAATATCTACATTTAAATGTTTTCTTTTTTTTTATCATTCTTTCTTTCTCTTCATGTCTAGTTGTCGACGTAAGCAATAATAGATCTGTTCATATATAGATTTAAAGCGACTGAATTTTCCTGTTACCATCACCTTCGCAGATTTCTATATTTATATCTGTACACATACAAACTATTCACATCAGGTAAAGCGCGTGCGACTTTCTATAATATAATAGCAGTTATATTTGTAATTTCTACATAAGAAATAAAGGCTAATCATCAATTTTACATTACATATTTTATATTTTGCGGAAACTTCACAATCTTTTTAATATTAACAATTTTAATAACAGAATTTTAATAATAGAAACTTTGACTATTTTAAAGACAATTTTTCCTTAAATTTCGAAAAAAAGAGATTATTAGACCTTTCTACTTTAAGTGTCGCAACAAAAAAATAACATCGCAAAATAAGATTACAAAAGTAAATAGATTTTAAAAAGTTGCAGTGAGAATTATATGGTGATATAATTGCATTATAAGATATATTAAAATTACTAATGCATTATATATTTATAAATAAAAAGGTGCGAGATAGCATAAGAATCAAATAGATCGATGACGTGAGTCTAGTTAAAGAAAAATAATGTTAATTCATTTATAAACTATGCTAAGCAACAATTAGCATAAATTAAAGGAGCGGTAAAACTGAAAAGTGCGCATGTGTGTTTTTTTTCTTGTCAGGCTCACGCATGATATGACTCAGTCTCGTGAGGCTCTGGCGATGATGGATGCGCATACAACCACGTTCGGACGTAAAAGAGGCTGCACGATTTCCCGATGCGGCGCCTTCCTTCTGGGCGCATTTTTTCTAATCAGTTTGGTCGTCACCGGTTTATTGGTGTACCATTTCGCACCTTGCCTCGAGGAGAAACAAGTTCAGCCGTGCACGAGCTCTGATGGCGATTCGCTCTTGCAGACCGGGAGAAGTTTCCCGACAATGCCAATAAAGAAGAAATTAGATGTTAGATTACCAAAGGCTGTCGTGCCCGATTTGTACGAATTATGGCTGACACCCTTCATATGGGAGGGCAATTTCACTTTTCATGGCGAGGTAATAATGCTTTATAACACATATTTTTTAATAATAGTGATATATTAATTTATTGATATATTTTAATTAATATACAATGATACATTGTAATAAATAAAAAGTTTTCTGTTTACAAATGAATTTTGGTATGCACATTTTAAACGAATTGCATGCGCTGATTAATTATGTTGCGTGTTTTGCTGTTCTATCAGATCTTATCAAAATATAATTTTTTAGAATTTGTAGAGTAATATTTTCATCCTATAGAGAGAGAGATTATTTCATTATAACTTATTATTTCGTTATTTAGACGTTTATTTCGAAAAATATACTTTAACTATAACTATAATTAACTATAATTAACTTAATATTTTACGTTTGCTGATTGACTGTCGTACTTAAGCACTCACCGAAATATTTTGTCCTTTTTTTTTTGACATTGTAAGATATTTTTCTTCACTACTTTAAATTATTGCCACACAAACCGGTTTGACTACCTTATGAACATCTACTTTCTAGTGAGAATTGAAAGCGTAATGTTCTTCTATGTACTTAATTCTTAATTCTATACGTAAGCTATTACTGCCGTCATGAAGAGAGACGCGCCTATACTCCGTCCAACGACAGATCATGGTTGATCAAACATAAATAACGATAGGGCACAGAGCCGCAACAAGGTGTTTGCGTTAAATTATTTTTATTTTTAATAGTGTGTTGGACAATATCTATTAAAAATAAAAATAATTTAACGCGAACACCTCGTTGCGGCTCTGTGCTTTATCGTTATTTATGTTTGATTAATCATGATCTCTCGTTGGACGGAGTATATAGCGATTGATGCAACTGTTCACTTTCATATGTTAGACTCATGGGGACTATAGGCTTAGGCAAATCACGTGTGTCCCGATCTCAACTCTCTGTCAAGTTTCGTTTTTTATTCTTTTACTTTCTTACCAGCTGTTTGTTCTAGCTCGTAATGATTTTTTGAATTGCGTTTGGAGAAGAAAATATAAATGTGTAGGATTTCTCTTTAAACCTCGTGGATTAAAGAAAATTCTATTCGGTTATATTTAAAAAATTTTCAGTTTTGTAGAATTCCATATACAATTTTGAAATATCTTTGAGCACTATAATGAGATAATTATAGAAATTTCACATATAATTAAAATTACGGTATTTAAGTTTTATGGCATTTGATGAAATTCAAATTATTAATTCCTTTGATAAACGCTGCCTTATAAAAACAGAAATATGTTCAATTCGTTTAGGTCAAAATTTTGGTAAACGTGACAAAAGATACGAACAATGTTACGTTGCACGCTGTCGACATGAAGATCGACGAGGGCTTTACAAGTATTAGGGAGTTGTCGGTTAAGAGCAACAAGACTAAGGTAATCGAGATCGTGGAGCAGAGAAACGACACCGACAGGCAATTTCACGTGATTAGAACATCGAACACGTTGAAGAAAGGCAAGCAATACGTCGTGCATCTCAAGTTCATTGGCCATCTGAACGACTATCTGCAGGGTTTCTACAGGAGCTCATATACGGTCGGCAATCAGACGAGGTAAACGATGTCGCAACGAAACTTTGTGGCCGGTGTGAATTCAGACTTGTTCCTTCGTGCTTCATTTGTTTTAAGATTAAATATACAATTTAATCTTAGTGTATTCTGATATCTGATGAAGCTGTTTTATTGATTGTTCAATCAATTGCTCAATTGTCCATCTAAAGTCTAAAACATGAAACTTTAACCTACGGAACATCTAATAATTAGACAAAAAAGCGTAGCTCTCTGTATTGTAACATAAAAACATTTGAAACGTCGAAAGACAAATTTAAATTCATTTCCTGAAGAGAAAGAAATAGAGAAGTTGTTATTATATATATTATATATAAATATATATATATATATATATATATTATATATATAATATATATAAAATTTTATTTTGTTAACTCCATTGACTTCTAGCATTGTCTCATACTCGGGCTTATCACCGCAAAGTGTTTTGATTGATGGCGAATAGAGCGCGTGATTATCCTTTGAATAGTCTTGTTGCGGTCGCGTGCTTGGCTTACGTACAGATTCAAACAAGGACTCCTGTCGACTGTTTGCTAAAGGTACCTATCGGGCTTCTGCATTATAGATGGATTGCCACGACTCAGTTTCAACCGACGGATGCGCGCCGTGCTTTCCCATGTTTCGACGAACCGGCTTTGAAAGCCAAATTCCAAATCAACATAGCACGTCCCAGGAACATGACGTCTATCTCGAATATGCCCAGAAAAGGGGAACCGATGCCAGTGTGAGTAATTGTAAATTGTATGTCATACTTTCACGTTGGCGCCGTTGCGTCGTTTCGTATATCTAGTTCGTATCTTCTGGAGTAATTTCCGGGATTACAAAATTTATTTTGTGATTCAACTGAATGGATTTCTCTTCACAATTTAGATTTTTGTTTAGCGCAAAGTATCTGAAACGTAAAATTTGACGTAATTAAAAAATAATAATCATCCAAACACTGCACTAAGAATATAAAAAAGCTAATGTATATATATCCCATTGTGGCGATTTGGCATTGACAAAGTCCATTTTAAAAATATTGTTTCTACTGTTTAAATAAAAAAGAGTTGATAAAAATAATAATAACGTAATAATATAAAATAATTTATAACGTATTGTATTTAACGTGCGATATATTTCTCTTAAAATATTGATTTTTAGAAAAAATTATTTAAGTAAATGTTGTAGAGTTTTAAGGAGTTTTAAGGAGCATTCTCTTTTTTATTTTGTTATAATCAGGCCCGGTTTAGACACATACGTGTGGGATCATTATGAGCGTTCGGTACCGATGTCTACGTATTTGGTGGCCTTCATAGTTTCCGACTTTGATGTACGGAAATCAGAAGATGGTAACTTTAGAGTTTGGGCGCGCCACGATGCCATTAATCAATCACAATATAGTTTGAATATTGGACCGAAAGTACTCAGATACTACGAGGACTATTTCAAAATCAAATTTCCTTTACCAAAAATGGATATGGTCGCGTTACCTGACTTCTCCGCCGGTGCCATGGAAAATTGGGGATTGATAACATATAGGTAAGGATATCATGTGCGCATTGACGATTAATAATTATATTTGCTTCAATATTACATAAAATAAGAAAACATTATCAATCATATTGTAATATCGTAAATAAAGTTTCATATCACGTTGAGACTGTTATGTGTTGCATTCTGTTAGTGAGCAGTGGAAGCTGTTAAACGCTGTTTTGGACGATTTTTTGTTTTACTTCAGTCAGAACTGTGTTTATAAAAATATGTATAAGGGTGCGAAATTAGGAATATTTTTTTATGTCAAAAAATGCTACATTTTTTTTTTTTTTTTTAAGAAAAGATAGTTAAAGTAAACTTTGAACACATTCATATCATGGAGATCATATTATGATAATCCTAGAATAAAATGATACAGTTTAGTTATATTCTTATAGGAGTTTTTAGTCAAAATTTTGGTTTTTAAAAATGGGGTGCGATATTATAGCGAATTCGGTTGGACGCACCAGTGCGCACTCAGTGCACATTAA